CAGACTTGTACAGTATATGAAATATTTGACCCATCATCTTCTGGATTTCCTCCAGCACATATAGTAATGAACCTTTCAATGTTTTATTTGTACAAATGGAAAGTAAATGGTATACTCGTACGGTGTACTAAGCTGCTTTATGAATCATTGCTTTCATATCAGGGTCTGGATACAATGCTTTATTAATAAGAGCCTAAGGCAGTGAGTGTTACTGATTTCATGACTTGTGATCCTTGAAATGTACTCTTCAAATGTCTTATAATGAAATGTTTGAAAAGGTTACTTCTAGGAATTCTCTGTAGTGCACTTCCAAGACAATGTTCAACTACTAATAGGCAATTTTTCCATACCCACCATAGACACCATCGCCTTTGTTTAATACGGAAAAGCAATGAGTAGTGACAATGTAGGACTATAGTGATCCATACCAGAAAATTAGATTTATATTCACTCTTATCAGATCATTGAAAGATGAATTTTGATTAAGAGCTTGCTATATAAACCTGTATGTTTGCATTGAAAAGTGATTTTTTTTCTTTAGATATTTACAGAAAAGTTAAAGTGATTCTAAAGGCTTAATTTTTGTTTTTAATAACAAACATGTCTATACTTACCTGCTCTGTGGAATGGATCTTCCTCTTCTTGAGTCCCCCCGGCGCTCCTGGCCCCTCCCTCCTGTCAGGTACCCCCGCAGAAAGCAGCTTACAATGGGGGCACCCAAGCATTTACACTCCGCAGCCGCTGCTCCATGTGTCCATTCACACATGGAGCCGTGGCTTGGCCCCACCCATTACCTTGTTACGTAGATCTTTTGACTGTTATTTTATGCTCCCCAAGCATTTGCACTCCCCAGCGGCTGCTCTGTGTGCCCATTTACACACAGAGCCCTGTCTTGGCCTGCCCCTCTCTCTTCTCATTGGCTCACTGTCAGCCAATGAGGAGAGGGAGTCCCGGGATATCTGAGACTCCAGTGCACATCGCTGGATCGAGAGGGGGCTTAGGTGAGTATTTGGGGGGGGGGGGGGGTTCCTACCTTCAACATAGAATGCATGAAGTTGAAAAACCTTGAGCCTTTAGAACCACTTTAGAGGGTTAGTTCACTTTTTTAGAAAAAATTAATACTTCACATTGTATAAAAAAGGCTGTTTGATCCTGTCTTCTCTGATTCCCCCCTTTTTCCACAGTCCCCAGTCTATCTGCTGATAGTACAGAGCCCTAGGAGGCACTCTGTACATGCTCAGTTTGGTGTATATTGCTAGTTTATTTTTTTCTTGGGAGAGTGCATGTGATCAGCACAGGGCCAATCAGAGCTGTCCAGACAGAGGAGGATTGGGGGTCCTACAGCCTCATAGGACAGTCAGAGCAGAATGAAAACTCCTCCTACAAGCTTTAATCAGTGCTCAGCTGAAGACTGATAGAAGTCGCAAGACTTCTCTAACTGCTGATGAGAAAAGGTATTTAGCAGTTTATATTTACTAAAATAATTGCATTTCCATGTTCTGTGTAGTGATGGCCTTGATGTTTGAGTTGAATGTAAGTTAGACTCGAACATCGGCTGTTTGTGTGTTTGGCAAACACACGAACGATAAGTGCGTTCGACGAGCTGTTCGCCCGCCACACCCCACAATACACTGTGCTCTCACAGTGTATTGTGATTGGCCAAAGCAATGCACCTGACCAAAGGTCACTTGCAATACTTTGGCCAATCACAGCACAATTGGGTGGAACTAGCGATGGTGTCACCGTTAGCTCTGCACAGTTGTTTACATCTGATCAGCAAATGTCAGATTGTGCCGTGTGCTTGCTGGGTGCGGATGGGTCGGTGGGCATTGGGTTTTTCTTTATTGTGGCGAGCCAGCGTCAACATGACAACGCTGGAAGCTATGATTTATGATGGATTACAATGATGGAACCATTTTGTGGGCTTTTTTTTTTTAAATAAAGGACTTGTAAAAATTGTTGTGTTTTTCACTTTCTCACTTTTTTGGTGAATGAATAGGGGCCCTCTTATTAAAGGGGGCTTCCAGATTCTAATAAGTCACTCCCATCAGACCTCCACAACCACAGCCCAGGTTTGTGAGGAAGAGGCCATTGTCCCCATCGGCATGGGGACACTGTCCCAATGCCGAGGGCATGTGGCCTGGTAAGCCGTGGGGGAGGGGCGCTTGCTCACCCCCTCTTTCCTGATGATGGGATCAAGGGTTTGGTAGAAATTTAGGGGGGACCCCACGTTTTCCCCCAATATTTTTGGGGTGGGGTTCCCCTTAATAGTCCTACCAAGCCTAAAGGGCCTGGTATGGCTTTTAGGGGGAACACCACGCACTCCCCCCCCCCCCCATTTTTGGGAGGTGGGGTTCCCCTTCAAAGTCCTTTTCATTTTTTTTTTTTTTTTTTTACTTTAAGCAATGAAAAATGACTGCCCCCTTAAAAACAGTACTTTTTGAAAAAAATTTTTCACTGATTCATGTCCTCCATAAGCCTGCAAAATGGGCACTTATTGGGAATTTAAAAGTTTGAGTCCTGCATAGACTTCCAGTGAGTTCGAAGTTCGCGGTCAAACTTTTGTTAGGTTCAAATGTTCGACTGCGAACTGAACAGGGGGGTGTTCGGCCCATCACTAATTCTGTGTATTGTGGGAGACCAGATATAGTGAATTCAGGGTTATGAGTTTGGTAACACTTTAACTAACACTCTACACCATCCCCCACTTATTTCTGTAGGGCTTCCAGGACAGATCAGAACTATTGAGACTAGTCAGCACTGGCACATGACAGATTTGACCAGTTGGAATCCCTCTGATTCATCCCCAAAGCCTTACAGAAAGAAGGGGAAGAAGAGTGGGGATTTCAAATCCCCCAAGCACTACGCCGGCCACGTGGGCACTGACAGGTCATCACCCACAGAGATAAGGGCAGCATTTTTTATTTCATTTTTTCGATAAAGGTCAACTCACATTTTACATATAATACTTTGTTTTCTGTCATTTTAAACCCATCGGGGGTTGAATATTCATTGCACATCAGCAAAAAATGTTTTAAAACAATTATTTACTATATTATTAATATTATTATTATTATTATACAGTATTTATATAGCGCCAAAGGGTATGCTCAGCGCTGTACAGTAGCAGGGGGGACAGAACATGAGACAAGACAGAACAATACAATACACGAGGGGTTCGAGGGCCCTGCTCTTTCGAGCTTACAATCTAAATGATTCATAATAAGAATATTCTTAGGGTTTGTGTAGACTTGAATTTGGAGGGGGGGCAATTAAGAATACACAGTTGAGCTCTATTTTAAACCCCCCCCCCTCAACTGCCCCTCCCTTGAGTTGCAAATACAGCAGATGTGGATGTTTACATGCCACAGTCACAAAGCTTTACTTTTTTGCCGTGTTTGACCAGCAGTAGAACCATTAAACGTGACCCATTCAAGTAACTGGGGGCACCCCATAGCCACCCCACAACCTCATGCAATGCACACAGTTGCAGCGTGTTGATTGGCATTTATGTGGTTAAAATAGACAACAAGGAGGCGTCATTTTGCCTCCTCACCGATTGTCAAAAAGGTGGTGTGACCGTGAATTGCTTTTCAGAAGCACAGCAATTTAGCTGCACATGTACATTAACCTCAACGCTTAACTCTATGAATGCAGATATATACAGAGATGAAATAAATATCTTTGGCTTTTGATCCTACCAAAGCATTTGTATTTTTGTTCATCCAGTCATGAGATTTACACATCTTTGCCACACACCACAGTCTGTCTAGCAAGAGAAGGGCCTGATCTTTCCTCTCTGCAGTTTCACTTTCAGTTACAGGCTTCCTCCCTACCTCCATAGTATGACAATGATAAGCTCATCGTTCTGTCACTCTGCTCTCTCCTCCTACTAGCATGCTTTGTAGCAGATACATTCATATCAGCTGTGTATTTGGCAATTAGGCTGTAGTTCAGCCGTGCGTTTCAGCCCTTCAATGATTCTAGTCGAAGCTTATTTTTCTTCATCAAGCTCTCATTCTTCTGCCCCTGCATCAAGAGTTAGCATCTCAAGAGCAGGCCCAGATTTCCCAATAGGCACTGTAGGCATGTGCCTACAGATGCCCTTCCCAGAGGGGTGCCAGTCTGTATGAGGGGAAGAGAGAGGAGAGAGAGAGTGAACCCCCTTATCGGCAGCCCTGCTCATACAGATGGATGCCCCCTTCTCTCTCTCTTCATGGGTTCCGGGGTGCAGTGCAGGGCACGCAGGGAACTCTGATATAAGAGAGAGAACACTGCGGATCCTGACATAAGGAGAACGCTGCTAACTACTAGAAGGAAGTTTGGTGACCAGGGAGTGCCTTATATTAGAGTTCCCCTTTACATCATGGCCTGCAGTGTCCCCCTTACATCAGGGTCCACAGAGGTCCTCCTTGCACTGTAAGGGGGAAACCTGCAGATTCTGATGTCTGAACTCTGAAGATTCTCATGTTAGGGGAACTCTGGGGACTCTTGTGTAAGGGGGGGCTTTGGTGAATAGAGACCCCTTTACATCAGAGTTCTCCTTTACATCACAGTCCACAGTGTTCCCCTTTACATCAAAGTCCGCAGCATTCCCCTTTACACATAAAAAATATTTATATATAAAAATATTTTATCAAGCAAAAAAAAGTCTTACTGTCTTTTCTTTTTTTTTTTTGGGGGGGGGGGGGGGGCACTTCAGAATTCTCTGCCGATAGGCTCTGAGATGTAAAGCCAGCCCTGCTCAGGAGACCATGTAGCAATAGTAGGAGATGTTACTGTTATGAAAGGCTCTAGTAAGGATATTGGCTTCCAGAAATAAACACAGATGGATTGGAAATCATTCTTCACAGTAAACAAGTATTTGCTCCTACAATAAAACATATTCCAACTTACTCAGGATTGTTGCACTTCCTTTCTGCGCTCTGCACTCCAGCACTGCATGTCCTTGTACAGTGTGACCATGTTGTCCAGGAACCCCAAGCTCCATGTACCGTGTCTGGTTGTTTGCCCACGTTAACACATGCACCACTGATGCACCACTAAAACAATAACCATTGTTCATTAGCTGCAGAATATGATAAACATATATACAGTGTGAAGGTATAACCCATCAAGGAAAGTATAGTAAGCTGGGACACAAAGAGCCTTAAAGCCCTCCACTCAACCAGCACAGTAGAGCCTTCCTGAATTAAAAATCCAAATGTTTTATTTCCACCACAAGTCCCACAAGTCTCTTGGCCAACTGTAAATTCAGAACCACAAATGTATAGACTAAACGCAGCCTAATATTATAGAGCCATTTATATCAACCTTCATACAGCTGTTTCAGACTTGCTGGCCTCTATCAGTGTAGTACATGGAAACAATAGCTTCTATGGGGTGGGGCTTTAAAGAGCAATGAGAAAGTATAACTCAACAGGTAATGGTGCAATGGGTCAGTAGAGTAACAAAACGGGTATATATGTGTCTCATTTTCATCTTAAATTCCTAAAAAAAGAGGTTTATTCCTCATTTTGTGATAATATACAGAGCCAATTTGAGAATAAAATGATGTCATGTCATTTGTTTTGGAAACCCATTAGAGCCCAAGATAACTTTGGACCTATAGTAAGTCACATGGGATATTATGGACTTTGGCTGTTCATTAAGTTACCTTATCATTCAGGAGTAATCACATTAACTAAGATCTCCTAGTCACCCAACAGGACCATCCTCTGTTCCATGAGTGACTTTACTTTTCTTCTTACCTTCTTCCTTTCTAAGAAAGATACCTATACTTACCTATGCACTCTGGTCCAGTCAAAAGATCTCTTCAGCGCTGGATTCGGTGTAGAGGAGAGATCACCGACAGCAGCTGTAGAGCCTGGGCAATGATGTCACCCAATAACTTACTATGGGGCATACATTGACGGCTGTTCCTCCTCTACACTGAAGCTGGTACTGGAGAGACCATGTGACTGGACCAAATAGGTAAGTGAAAAATATCTTTAGTTTATCAGGGTAGATAGATCAGGCTTAAAATGGGTGTGGATTTAAGCTTAGTTAGAGTTTGACTTGTCTTCCTCTTTAAGAAGCTAATTTAAAAGCATCAGCATAACACCATTGCTTCTTTCACATGGGCGATGATTAAAAACACCACCTAAAGTCTACAATACACATGAAGGGGGCTGTGCACATGCCACTTCTGTGATGCTTAGTGTTGTTGCCACAGCAAAATTAACACAGCATGTTGAGTTGACGGATGGCACCACCTATTAAAGCGCATTCATAAATCACATTAGTCCTATTGTAAATTGCTAGTTGCCAAAAAAAAGAACAGGTATTCAGGTGGCAGCAGGATTGTCTCCCTAACAGCTGGCAGTGGCTGCTGCTTAACTGTACTCTGAAAACGATCCACTGTGGATTGCACTTCAAAGAATGGGCTAATGTAAATTTAAATTTACAAATATCCTCTGAATTCTGCAAGCTTTAGGATTGTAAACCCAACAGATTGCAATAGAATTGAGAAAAAAAGCTGAGCAGAGAGCCTGATCATATGACCTGCGAAAGTCACATATCGGGCTCTCCTGTAAATTTGGATTAACCAGTGAGAACTCCTGGGGTTCTGTCAGCTACAAACTGCGGCTCATCCCATTCATAAGAACGCATAACAAAGTGCAGTGGGCAGGGCAGCCATCAGAAATTTTGGGGCCCCTTATACAGCTTTAGTGTCAGGAATGGACTTGCCAATAATGGTGGGACTCACCTGCCTTGTGGGCTGCAGTACCAGGGCTGGCCAGCGGGTGCTCTCAGCAATCAGAGACTCACCCCTGCAAACAGCAAAACCTGAAGCTGATTGCAGGGGTTGTATTTAAGGAATGGCCAGACTCACAGTCAGGGCCTTGGTGTGTGTTTTTTTTCCATGGGCCCCTGTACCATTCTCTGCCCGACCCTCTGTACCGCGCTGCCCGTGAGTTACTGAACCCAGCTTGTGACCCTGACCACTCTCCCGCCTGTTCCTGGTACTCCGTTTGCCCGTTTTGCTAGCTGACCCGGCCTGCCTGACTACTCTTTGTATTGTGTGTATTGTTATCGGTGGGTGGTTTTGTTTGTTTGCACTGTGTTTATGTTTAGTTTTGCACTGCATTTTGTATTGTTAGTCTTAATAAATGATATTGTTTATACCATATCTGAAGCCTGCATTTCCCTGTGTCAGTCCACACACCTCTGGTCATACCTGGAGCCCTGACATTTAGGCCTTGGCTCCCTGGACCTGACCACCAACATTCCCTAAGGCTCGCCCACTGGCTGTCCCACTGAATCCGTCCACTGGCCATCCCACTGAGTCTTTCAGTGCACCCACTTTTATTTTAACACTCTTACAACTACATATATGAAAATGAAAAGTGTATTCCAAGTCATCAGTGCTTGCATTCCCATATATTCAGCAAATAGATGGCCCAATTCAGCAAAGAGACATCCCCATATAGTCAGCATAGAGACAGCCCAATCCAGCAAATAGACATCCTCATATATGCAACAAAGACAGCCCAATCCAGCAAAGAGGCCCCCCCCCATATATTCAGCAAAGAGACATCCAAGTGCAGCAAAGAGACAGCCCCATATTTCAGCAAAAAGACTGCCCCATATATTCAGCAAAGAGATGGCCCGATCCAGCAAAGAGACATCCCCATAAAGCAATTGTTAATAAAAGATGGCACATTCAATACACACAGCCAGGTCCTTCTAGTGGGCACCTCCACACCTTTCAGATGGAAAACCCCTTCCCTGCACACACAGCCATCCTAGTCATAGGAATCTCCCAGAAGGAGCCTGGACTTGAACCTGGGACAACATGAACATGGTTGTCCTAGGTTGCAGAGCGGCAGACAGGAGATTGTGATCTGCGGCAATAAAAATAAATAAATAAATAATCCCCAGCCAAGCGGACTATTTCTTCACTTTCAGGTGTAGGTGTAGTAATCTCCTGTACCAGACACGTACATGGCAGTCCCGGCCTCTTCTATATCAATCCTCCAGAGAGGACAGGAATATAGTGTACTTGTTTGGCACAGGAGATTACTACACCTGCAAGTGAAGAAAAGTCCGTTTGGCCGAGGAAAATATTGCTTTTCTTTTTAATTGCTACAGATCGCTGTCTCCTTTCTGCCTCGACTCAACCCCCCTTCCTCCTCCGCGACGGTACAGGAGGACATGGAAGTAGTAGGAGCACTTTGCCCCACAGAGCAGTCAAAGTAGACTGGGGGTGTCTACTCCGACTATGGTTGGGGTGTCTGGGCCTCCTACATGTGTAAGGGCTGCCTTCCCTGACAGTGGCCCTGACAGTGGGCCCCTAAGACTGAAAAGGAGCAAATATAAATCTTATATAACAAGATTGTGCAAATAGTCAGTTCACAGGTGATAGACAATATGATATAAAATTTACCTTATTATCTCCACATCTGGTCCCATCTGCTGTGGCATCAAGCTTCGAGCGGCATGAATTTTTTACTGAACACCAAAGAGTCTGGCAAACATTCTATGAATAAGAAAAATAAAAAGCAAGCTGACATTATTATTATTTTTTTTTCCTTTTTTTTAATATTCCTGAAGAAATACTGTTTATTATCAATGCCTGTAATCATACTGTATATGAAAAAAAAAATTTAAAAATATTTTTATACTTTACTCATCCATGTAATTACGATAGGAAAATGATCCTGTTGATACAGTATAATTCTGATTTCTTTTTTCTGTGTCCATTTGAAATTGGGCTAAGTTTCACATAAATGTAGGGTCTCTAATGGGGAGCTGCCCAAGCAATATACAGGCATTGATAATGTTTGCCACTACAGAACCACAATATACTGTTGATTCAATCAGAGAGCCACAATTTCCAGGTATGCTGGAACATTTATCACTTTATTAATCCACAGTAGCCCGCATTTAAATGTAATGCAACCCTATCCCATAAAGTAATTAAAGTGACTCGATTATGAGAAAAGTAAGCATGCTGCCATTGCTAGGCTGATTTTGAAAATGGTAATTGCCTGGCTTTCCACAAAAAACTTCCTTTTTAGTCTGTATATCCATCTACGAGGTTTGACAATTTATTTCCTGGAATGCCCATGGTTTAGCACTATGGTGGTAAGTCACACAGCCATTTGCACTCGAGTGTGCTCTGAAATGTTCTAACTTGTACTTGCCTGTATCACACATCAGTTGACTCTGTCTTTACGGAATAGTAGAAAAAATACCACGTGTGCGTTTTATGCTGTTGATGGAAAATGAGTGACAGTAGTCTGGAGCTGTGGATTAACATCAAATTTTGCATGAAAATTGGCAAAAGTGCGAGTGAAACTTTAGCTGTGTTACAAGAGGCTTATGGTGAACATTCCATGAAGAAATCAATAGAATAGGTAGTTTAAGGGGGGGCAAGAAGATGTCCATGATGGCACAAGAAATAGACAGCCAAAAAGGCACAGGACTTGTACAAATGTGGAAAATGAAATGGTTATGGGAATCTGTTTGAAGGAAAAGGCTGGAACTCTGGCCTGACAAGTGGATTCTCCACCATTAAAATGCTCCTGCACATGATGTGTTTAGTGTTCTCGAGTTCCTGGGCTAGAAATCCATTCCAAAACTTGCCCAACTACCATATTCCCCTGACCTAGCACCTTGAGACTTTTGGATGTTTCCAAAATTAAAAAATACCTTAAAAGGACATAAATTTGATGACTTTCTGGACATACAATGCACCATGACAAAGATACTGTGCAGTGTTCCGGAAAACGAATTCAGGATTGTTTTTGGCAGTGGCATAGTTGTTTAGAAAAGTGCGTCTCTTCAGAGGGACTACTTTGAAGGTGACAACGGCCACTAGTGTATAGGTAAGCAAACATTTTTTTTATAGTATATTAAAGTGTCACACCTCATAATTTCTAATCTCAATAAATTTATGTAAAGATTTTTTACTATTCCAGCAGTATACACTTTCATTCTTCTAGTGCAGTTTGTCTCTATTTATTATCCTTGTTTCCAATAGATCTTTAGATTTTAAATACATTTCTTTATCTCAAATTGTTTTTGATTAAACAATAAATTTCAATCAAAGGGCAACAGTCCACAGGCTCTTTTTCCAGATCTTACTGTAATTTGATAATTTCACTTTCATCAAATTATTTTACTGCATCACCATTAATTCCCCACATTGTTCTAAATTATTTCCTATTTTTATTTAAATTCCGATAATATATCTTCAATACTTAGGAAGATCTGGATTTGCAAACCTCTCAGAACCATGATGTCCTTTACTTATTATTTTCAATAAATCATATGCAGCCATAGCCTTAAATTATTTCTTATCACCATTTAGATTTAGAATACTTTATTAATCTCGAAGGGAAATCATTATTATTTCATTTTATTATTGCATTTTCTCTTTTATTGTACCAGGAACAGGAATGACGGATGCCAACATGCAAAATAATATTCTTCCTTTATTAAAATAGCCAGCAGGAACAAGTCTTATTCTGACAGGTTTCAGCCTAGACACAGTACTTTCCTTGAGAGTGCTGTGCCTAACACAAAACATGTCATCAAAGAACTTGTTTCTGCTGGCTATTTTAATAAAGGAAGAATATTATTTTGCCACCCTGTTTGTGCCATCTCTGTTGTTGGTAAAATGAGTTGCTTTGATGGGGATGAGCCAAGAAAGCACCCGAGCTTGTGAATTGTTGGGCCTGATCTCCTCCTAAAGTGGCATGTGAAATATTGGCATTTTCCCAGTTATTTCTTCTGAGCTAGTGAGAATTATTTTTCCACTTGTGTTATATAAGAAATCTCTATATAAAGACTTGTGTCCTCACTGTTTCTAGGAAAAACAAAATAATTCCTGCTGTGAATGTGAGGGTGTATGTTATAGTTCAACTATCGATGAATACAATTTGATACACCTCGTATTCTCGCCACATCCCAGTATGTATTCACATACAACAATAGTCACATTGTATATTGCTTAATTACTTCCAGCCTGGTTTTCAGAAGATATAAAACATTATTTTATTTACACTAACTGAAACAGTAAAATTTTTTTTAATGCAATCGCAAAGCTCCATAGATGATTCCTCTTCCTTCTATTTATTTGTCTGTTCACTTTCCGGCTATTTTGGCTTTTTATATATACCGTATTTTTCGCTCCATAAGACGCACCTGACCATAAGACGCACCTAGGTTTTAGTGGTGAAAAACAAGAAAAAAAAATATTCTGAACCAATGGACTGCAGACACAGTACAGGGGATGACCAGAGACTGCGGACACAGTACATGAGATGACCAGAGACTGCGGACACAGTACAGGAGATGACCAGAGACTGCGGACACAGTACAGGAGATGACCAGAGACTGCAGAAACAGTACAGGAGATGACCAGAGACTGCGGACACAGTACAGGAGATGACCAGAGACTGCAGACACAGTACAGGAGATGACCAGAGACTGCAGAAACAGTGCAGGAGATGACCAGAGACTGCGGACACAGTACAGGAGATGACCAGAGACTGCAGACATAGTACAGGAGATGACCAGAGACTGCAGAAACAGTACAGGAGATGACCAGAGACTGCGGACACAGTACAGGAGATGACCAGAGACTGCGGACACAGTACAGGAGATGACCAGAGACTGCAGAAACAGTGCAGGAGATGACCAGAGACTACGGACACAGTACAGGAGATGACCAGAGACTGCAGACACAGTACAGGAGATGACCAGAGACTGCGGACACAGTACAGGAGATGACCAGAGACTGCGGACACAGTACAGGAGATGACCAGAGACTGCGGACACAGTACAGGAGATGACCAGAGACTGCAGAAACAGTGCAGGAGATGACCAGAGACTGCGGACACAGTGCAGGAGATGACCAGAGACTGCGGACATAGTACAGGAGATGACCAGAGACTGCGGACATAGTGCAGATGACCAGAGACTGCGGACACAGTACAGGGAATGACCAGAGACTGCGGACACAGTACAGGGAATGACCAGAGACTGCGGACACAGTGCAGGAGATGACCAGAGACTGCGGACACAGTACAGGGGATGACCAGAGACTGCGGACACAGTGCAGGAGATGACCAGAGACTGCGGACACAGTACAGGGAATGACCAGAGACTGCGGACAGTGCAGGGAATGACCAGAGACTGCGGACAGTGCAGGGAATGACCAGAGACTGCAGACAGTGCAGGGGATGACCAGAGACTGCGGACACAGTGCAGGGAATGACCAGAGACTGCGGACAGTGCAGGGAATGACCAGAGACTGCGGACAGTGCAGGAGATGACCAGAGACTGCTGACCTTTGGGAAGGGAGGGGGAGCGGTTACCTGAATTTGACAGGTACCCGCTCCCACTTCCGCGGAGTTGCCTTTCCTCTTCTTCCCGGGCCGGCTTCTGTGACAGCCGGGTGCCCACTGCGCAGGTGCGAGAAGCGCTTCGCTTTGTGAATGGCCCGGCGCCTTCTGGGACCCTTCATGTGTCCCAGAAGACACCGGATCATTCACAAAGCGCAGCACATGCGCAGTGGGCACCCGGCTGTCACAGAAGCCAGCGCGGGAAGACTGTGCAGCGCTGGAGCGAGGAACAGGTAAGGCCCTGCAGGAGACAACAGCTGAGCGGCCGGCCCGGTATTCTGACATGGTGGCCGCAAAAATACCGGACTGGCCGCTTTATATTCGCTCCATAAGACGCACTGACATTTTCCCCCCTTTTTGGGGGGGAAAAAGTGCGTCTTATGGTGCGAAAAATACGGTAGTTTATAGGTAGCTTTCCCAATTACCAGCAGATCTTATAATATCAAGTTTTGTTTATCTACCGCTTCCAGGGAAAATAAAATAATTCCTGCTGTGAATGCGAGGGTGTATGTTACAGTTAAAGTACCAATGAATACCATTTTATACACCTTGTAAACCTCCCAGCATGTATTCATGCTGTATACAACAATAGTCACATTGTATATTGCTTAATTACTGCCAGCCAGATTTTCAGAAGATACTGTATAAAACATTATTTTATTTATACCAGTTAAAACATACAGTACTTTAAAACATTATTATATAATCTCAAAGCCCCATAAATCATTTCCTTTCCTTACTTATTTGTACATGCATTTTACAGTCACGTTTGACTTTTTATAACTTTTACTGACTTTTTATAACTCACAGCTAAATGAGAGATAATTAATACAACTCAATATATAATAATCAAATTATGGAACAGAAGAAGTGGGTACAAAAATTGAAGTTTACATAAAAAAAAATAATGTGAATTACATTATGCATAAATAACCAAAATATATGGTCATTGTGAATACGTGGTTGTTTTTCATTAAAAAAGGTACATTTCTACTCTTGCGAGAACCTAAAAACCTTTTGCAACTCAATTTTTTAAAACTTCTCAAAAACCTTCTCAAAAGTTCTTCCTTACACCTGCTACCAAATGTGCTCTTCCCCCATTGAACATTGCAAGAGCTCTCTCCCTCTTTGCTGCCATACTAAACATTGCTAAAGGATCAAAATGTAGAGTGCAACATCTGGAGCAGCTGTGCCTGGTAGCCAATCAGCTTCAAACTTCAGCTTGTTCAATTTAAGTGTTCCTAAACCCACAATAGTAAAATCAGTCTATATATGCAGTAAAGCATGCTCAATATACTCACTGTGGAACCTAATTGGTTAATCTCCTCGATTGTAAGCTCGAAAGAGCAGGGCCCTCGAACCCCTTGTGTATTGTATTGTTACTGTCTTGTCTCATGTTATGTCCCCCTTGCTACTGTACAGCACTGAGCATACCCTTTGGCGCTATATAAATACTACTGTATAATAATAATAATAATAATCCCCCGCATTGTGTTAAAAGGATGTTTGATCCTCTTTTCTCTAATCCTCCCCTTCTTCTACTGTCCCCAATTTATCTCCTGATAGAACAGAGGCTTGGAGGTACTCTGCACATGCTCAGTTTGGTATGTATTGCCAGAGAGTTTTTTTTCTTGGGAGAGTGCATGTGATCAGCACAGGGCCTATCAGCACTGTCCAGACAGAGGGTTAGGGGTCCTGCAGCCTCATAGCGTAGAATGAAAACTCCTCCTACAAGCTTTAACCAGTGCTCTGCTTGATACTGATAAAAGTCAGAAGACTGCTCTAATTGCTGATGAGAAAAGGTATTTAGCAGTACATATTTACTAAAATAATTGCATTTCCATTTTGTGTGTACTGTGGGAGACCAGATATAGCGAATGCAGGGTCCGGGGTTTAGTAACACTTTAAGCTGTGACAAAACAAAAAACCTGGAAGCTGGTTTCTATACAGAACTGCACCAGATTTTGCACTCTGCACTTCTGGTAAATTGACACTAATATCTGCATAAAACATAGCATACAGGCTAGTAAATGTGCCTGTTAGTTGGGATCATTTTTGGAGTCAGTGCAAATTGTTGATTGTGGTAGTTTTGAGCAGGTGGAATGTTTCTTGTAAGATATTTAAAGTCGTGATAAAACCTCAGCGTTTTACAACTTTCAATACTGCTGGCTGCTGCTCTCTCAGTACTGCATCGCTAAACTTCTGGTCTTCGTTGGAAAGAACGAACAATGGACAGGTTAGTCCCCAACCAGTCTGCTTGGAAAAGGGATGGCGGAGGAGTGGGTTGTGTGTTTCTATTAATGCACACAGTGCAGGGAGACACAAATCTAATCCCTGCATGTAGGGGTGGATCCATAGGATGCAGCAAGAGGGAAGAGCCACCCTGAAACAGAAAAGCTGGGGTGGCCATGCTACATGTATGGTAGGGAACAAACACAGTAAATCTCTGACAAGTATGAAATGTAAAATCAGAAGATAATCAAAAATCATCCAATGGAGGTCTCAAGAAGTCCTTATAAGATGTTTTCTCCTTGGAAGTAAATGAAAAGTACAGAAGAGCCATACACAGCTAGAAAACAAATATGGATTGCTTCAAAAAAGGCCTGGATTGTTTCTTAGATACACAGAATATAAGTGGATACTAACATTTATAGGTAAAGTTGATCCGATTGCCTCTCGGGGGATCAGGAAGGAATTTTTTCCCAGCAGGAGCAATTGGATCATGCTTTGCTGTTTTTTTTTTTGCCTTCCTCTGGATCAACTGTGGGTATAGGATTATAACTTTTTTTTTTCTATGGTTGGACTGGATGGACTTTTGTCTTTTTTCAGCCAGACTAACTATGTAACCAAGTGCCTACCTTCTTTTATGGTGGACTATAAACATCATAAAGCCTAGTACACACTATGAGAAAATCGGACAAAAGATCATCTGATTTTCCACAAAGGTGCGTGTTATGATGTAACCAATAACAGTATTACCTTGTATGAAAATTCTTGACCGACAAAAGCAAACATGACTACGTACTAGCATAGTAAAAGGGGAAGTGTAGGATCATTCTTTGCTTCTGATCATGCTCATTTTTTTTCCATTTGACTATTTCCGTACGATTACAGCACACAATAAATAAAAATCAGATGCTGCGTTTATGTACGATAAAAATGTTTTAGCTTGCACTCTCAGTTTTTGTCTTCCAAACAGTCAGAATCGGCTGTTGAAAGCACTATATTAATGATCAAATAAACGACCAATTGTTCCTCATACAGAAATGTTCACACAATTTTCTTATAATGTGTATGGGCCATTAGTCTCATAAGAACTCTTAGGTGTCCCTAGAGTAGTTGGTGCCTGGCCTCTTTTGGCCTAACAGGAATACTTTCACTGGTTGATGACAGGTTATATACAGTGACAATGGCAGTTGTGAGATTTGATCAGGTGTGACAATTTGGAATGTTTCATATTGTATTCAGTGACTTCAGTCTATATGAATAGATTTCAGAATAGTAAATGATGTCATTATGTGATAGATTTGGATACAGTGATACAGCTACTAGTGTCAGTAGAACTGTCAAACACTCAGTGCCACCAACAGACAAGGACCTGAAAGATAGTGGTGTGCAGAAGAGTCAGAAAATACATTGATTTTCCTTATTTTAGGATAGTGGGTAGAGTCATGCAAAACATTGTTGGCCATCATCAACTTAATGCAAAGAAACAATGGTTTCTGCCTGGGGACAACAGAAAAAGTATTACCCAACAGTTTATAGTGGGAATGGTCAAAATGAACCAATAAGCCCCCCACTGAACTAGTGGAAAGCATGACAGAGCCTTCTTAGGGGGTCATACTGATCCTCATTCCTTTCAAACACATCCAGTTCAAATCATGTGTGCGTTTAAATGGAATACAAAGGCAGCTTTTGACAAGAAAGGCAGAATTTGACTTCCTTTCCCTGCAGTCCCCAAGACACCTCAATAGGACATCGAGACAAGGCACAATGCAGGTCAAACTCAGGTTCTGAACTATCATGGCATCAATGGCAATTTGATGACCTGTGTTTGACATGTGTTTTGTCACATTACAGGAAGGCAATGCTTGTGTACATAAACCCTAATATAGAATGTATTTACATGTCTCCTCTTAAAAAGACAAAATAAGTGAATTATGTTCTATGCCTCTCTGGTTAATTGTACTTCCAGAACTGCTGCATTACAGTACAGATACAGCTTACTATTATAGAGCCATTTATAACAAACTTCATACAGCTGCTTCGGGGTTGTGGGCCATCATCAGAGCAATGCATGGAAGCAATGGCTTCTACAGAGTAGGGCTTGTGGACCAACAAAAAAAGTGTAACCTGACAAATTATGGTAAGAGGGGACAAAAGAACCCAAAATACCTCCACCGGACAGGTGTAAAGCACAGAAATACCTCCTTAGAAAAGAAAGTATTAGATGTCTCATTCCGTTACAAATTATACAAAATAAGGGGATTATTTCCCAATTTAGTAGGTATGGTCATGCAAATCTTTTATGTTCGTATAGCCAACTGTTCATTTAAACCTGCTCATTTACAGTACAGACACTGTTTAATATTGTGGTACCATTTATCTCAAACTGCATACAACTTTTTCCGGCAAGTTGGCCGTCTTCATTACATGTCTCAATCCATAACCAATCCCAAAAATAAAACAAACCACCCTTTTATTTTAGGATAGTCGATGGACGCAGGCAAATCATTTCTTTATGATCAGACATTCAGAACTGCTGCTGTACACCATCGATACAGCTGATTGTTATACAGCCATTAATTCCAAACTGCATACAGCTGTTTTAGGTTGCCATCAGTGCGGTGTACGGAAATTCTACTAGGTGTAGATCAATGTATGAGCTGTGGGTGGGATGTCAGAAAAGACCAATC